TCTCCCTCTCCCTCTCCCTCTCTCTATTTAGTATTAGCCATTTTTAATGTTAATTATAATAAAATTATAATAAAATTTCCTGCTAACTGTTAATTTTCTGAAAATAATTAAAAAAACAAGGTAGTATATATTAAAAATGTATAACTTTGTCTTTATTATTTGCTTTCATTATATTGTCTTATAAGACACAATATAATTATTTTATTTTATAATACAGACATAAATCAATAAATTTTCAGAAAATTAACCGTTAGCAGCAACTTTGGTAAATATAGCGAATAGGGGACCCAAACTTACAAAGTACATGCTACATTGTAAAGCAAAGTCCGGGGGGGGGGGGGGGGGGGGGGGGGGGGGGGGGGGGGGGAGAGAAGACACGTCTCACACATACCGATAGTTGAGATGAAGGTCGTGTTGAACGCGTCCTCGGAGAATCGGAACAGCACGCAAGTCTTGCCTACGCCGGAGTCACCGATCAGCAGCAACTTGAATAAATAATCGTACGTCTTTGCCATTGTTGTCGCGCTCGCGATTGATAGCTCGGTATGTGATGTCCGTCGTTGGACTCCCCGAGCGATATTATCACTTCACGACACTTCGGCACTTCGCGGACGACGCTTTCTTAGCGTACACGATGGGCCACGACGGGTTACTCGCAAAACCAGCTGGCTCCAAGTCTGTCTCTCTTTCTCTCTCTGCTCTTCAAAGATATCTAACCGCTTCGTAGGCGAGACATTTGACGAGGCGCGTTCTTCTTCCTTTGATGCTCGTTCGCTCTCTGTCTGCTCCAAGTCTGACGAAATTTTTTATACAGTTCGGATGATGACAACACGGGCGATGACGCGTGCTTCGCCGCGCGAGATTCAAGAGAGAAGACAGCTCGCCTGATACATTCGTGCACGCGAGATCGTGAATTAACAAAGCAGATTAATCACGCAAAACATCTGTCATAAAAAGCGATGACAGCCATTTGACCACCGCGATTTTTCCCTCATGTTGTGGCTACCTTGACTTGTGTGCTGCCCTGCTGCCAGCGCATTTCTACAGACGTGTGCATGTGTGTTGTTATGCACGCATGTGCACATGTGTACCACGCTTTCTCAGACCACGTTTACATCGTTTCCGATGAAATCATAAGAGGTGTTGATTACGGATGAAGGAAGATATCAATGATATTTATCTTTGATTATATATATCTAGTTATTTTCCAAACGTCTATTATCTCTATTATATATATATATATATAACAATATTCTTAAAAATCCTCTTGCTATCATATAAATAGAAACTATTTCAAAAAAGAAACTTGACTTATAAAATAAAGCTATTATTTTATGTCAAAGCCTCCTTAATAGTGATTGATTCAACTCTTTTGCGTCGCGTATCTTCGCACGAGATTTATTAATTTCTTTGTATTATAAAGTAAAGATTCTTTATGACTATTCCATTCCTCGTTATCAGAGAGTAAACAAAGTGATTGTCCCTTATTTTATGGCGAAATAATCTTTCTTTTCAGATACATACACCTTTAGTCAAAAATATTTAAGATTAATGAAAAAACTGCAGCTTATCGACAATGTTGACAAACATTGAGTGTATCTTGTGCATACATGATAAACAAAATTTTCCAATGGAGTTATATATATTTCAAAAGATTGCGAGTTTCGCTGTTAGCAAATTTATACAAGAGCCGAGAAATTAATAAGAAATTAATAAATTAGTATAATCATCCAAGTTTATTTGGCAATACTATTAGTAACTTAATTATATAAAGAGATAAGTTGAATTTTTTTTTAATATAGATTATGAAAGTTCACTAAATCAGTTTTGAACTGACTTACTGAAATCTCAATCAATAGTTTTATGACAATTCTGAAAAATATTATAGAACATTTACCTTACAAATTACATTAGAGATTAGAGAGTTACATTAGAGAGTTATTTTATATTTTATAAACTATCAAATCATTTGTTATCCCTATATAAATCAATAATATTTATAATTTAAAGATTTTAAAATCATTGTCAACATTAATTTTATTTTTATTTGCGAATTGACATGGTAATTCATCAATTCTATATGTAACAAAAACAAGATTGTAGTTTTTCCATTAGAATAAAAATTAAAGGACAGAATATGATATACATATTTCTTGATCTTTATACTTAAATGAATGTGGGATAAAATATGTGAAATATATCTTGTAAAACTCTCCAAGTTTCCAAGGTTATAGTAATACATACGGTTATAGTAATACATATGGTTATAGTAATACATATTAGCAAAAATGTTTTCATACCTCGATAACTTGTGCAATAAAATACATTATCAAAAGCTCAAGTTACAAGATATCACAAAACACAGATCTTTATGGATTTAGATTGCGAGCTTTCATTTGTAATTCAAAGCGTCGATTCGTTCGTACACCCTTCAGCGTCATCCGCGTTTCTTGTTGCTGCTTTTCCCTGCAAATATTTATATTATATAAATTTTTAGATTAAATTATTTTGAAGTTTTTTACACAGAGATCTCTAGATGAGATTTAATTTAATATTTGTAAAATAAGATTTAAGTCCTTTTATATAATTTTAGCAATTAATAAAACAAATCATTTTAATAAAAAACGAAATGATTAATTTATATGCATATTGTTTTGCAAATAAGCTGTTCATGCATAATTATGTAATTTTTTCTTGAAATCAATTTGAAGTACCTTGAATAAGTAGTTTGCTTTGTCAATATGACATGCGTAGCTTCGTTTTTTCTTAGCTTGAAACCAAATCTATTGTGAGTACCATCTTTTGTGTCGGTTGGCAATGGTCTTTTCTTTTCCTTCTCTGCATCTATTTTTGGAACAACTTTCTTCCCAGCTACAAGTAATTTATGCAAAGTGAAAAAGATATATAATAATTTTGTCGATATTTGAAGAATAATAAATATTATTAAATTACTGAATGCCAAGTGTTTGATTTCCAAACGTTTCTTTGCATCCACTACCGATTCTGATTTAGCAAACATTTGTTCGTGTATTTTTCCGAAATTTGGTACTTTTTTCGTCGACGATTTCTTCTCTGTATATAAATATATATGTTATCAAAACTAAAATAAATATAATATACAAGCAATTTTTTAATTTTCTTTACCTGATTTCTTTTCTATTAATGTAAAAGATTTTGATGTTCGAATTCCATTTAATTCAGCTCTCGGTGTAACTATATTTGTTCTTGGACTTGATCTCGCCTTGAAAGAAGAAACTAACAAATGTCGACTAAAATTTGGAGTTTCAACCTTTTTCGATTTCTGAGCTGAATTTATATTATTCTTTTGCGTATTAACATTGTGTAATATGTTGGATTGCAACCCAACTGATTTATTAACTAAATTACATGCACTGCTTGTGTCAAATTTTCCATCTGCAAAATGTACTTTAGCTCTCTTAAAATTTTCTCTGGAGCTTAAATTTGCATCTATTGAAGTACGTTTTTTGATCATCTGTCGTAAACTTATAGTTTGCGGTTGTTCCAATTCATAGGTATTACGCTTTTTGTTTTCTTGCTCCTTTTGTAATGTTGTCAAACTATCCTTATCATAAGTAGTGTCTCGTTTCGTGACATTTGAGGTGTGAAATTGACTAGTATCACTGATATCATTATCAAATAAAGATTTAGATATATTTTCAATGGCTGTGCTTTTATGCATTACATTGGATATATTGGATTGATTTTTATATCTTGACCTAGTATTAATAGGTGTATTATCTATAGGTATAATGGATGTATTGGATGTCAAATTCATATCTATTAATGATATATTCTCCTCTTGTGGGGTGGATGTTAAAGGTATTGATAATCTATCTTTTTCTTGTACCGGTGTATAATGTTTAATTCTTGGTGATACTCTATTAGTGAGTTTCTCTACATTTCCATTCTTTAATTTAGTATTGGAATTTCGATTAACAGATATATCTGATCCAGCAGAAGTTGTAAATACTTTGAAATTGTTTTCTAAATTGATTAATGGAGATCTTATTGTGATTGAAGTATCTGATCGAATTTTATTAGCAGGTGTTAGCATATTCTGTATTTTTTCGGGTGGTAGTCTCTCCAATAACACTATTGGTTCTGCTAGCACATCTTCCTTCTGTGAAACTGTCAGTCCCTTCATTAATCTATGTTTAATTCTTGATAAATTTTTTTCTTTAGACAGAGAAGATTTTTTTGTGCTACTTTTTAATTTTGCAGTATCAAGATCCGGTGTTGTATCGGAAGTAATGTTAGTAGGAGATGTTTTTAATGAATTTTTCTTAACTTTTTGAGATGGAGATAATAACTTCATTTTACGCGATTTTGATTTCTTTGATTTTGGAGATTTCAATACTATTTTTGGAGATTTTGAGAATTTACGTACAATTGCCTTTAAATTATCAGACTTCTTGTGTTTCCTTTTTGTTATTGGTGGCGTTAATGGGCTCTTGTGGGATATAGAATAATTGCTTAACTTATCTTTCATAGTTTTTTCCAACTTCTCATCGTGAGACTTATTATCTGATTTATTTAAATTCTCTTCAGATGTGGTAAGAAGAGACAATTTTCTTGGACTTTTAAATAGTCTTGGGACAGTTATTGAATGTGTCTTTGGAGAGCCTAAAGAAATTGGCGATTTTTTGGGTGTTTTCTTAGATCTGTGAGGAGTAAGACTAAGCTTAGGTGGTGTGCTTTTGGGTGTGATAATAATAGATAAATTTTTTACACCTGTGGCAACAATTTTTTGTTGTAATTTTTTGTTAAGCGTTTTATATGAATCTAAATCTTTTAAAGTGCTTGACTGAGAATGATCGTGTTTAATGTGTTCTGTCATCGATATTTTGTTATGTCTATCTTTTAATATTTTGATTGATTCATTGGTATCCATGCTTGGACTTTGTATTGTAAATTTATCCTCAGCTTCTGCATCTTGCGTTAAGTTTAATCTTCGGCGAGATTTCTTTTTTACAGACTTTCTCAATATTACCGCTGCATCAGGCGATTCTTTTCTTGCACTTTGCTTAGCAGTGGCTTCCAAACTATTCTTGATATCCAAAGACTTTTCTCTCCTCTGCGATTGTCTAGTTCGCTGTATAAATTCTGGAGCATCTTTGTTTATATCATTTATTTTTTGCGTCTTAGATCTGGTGGAAACAGAAGATTGTTCCACTATTGCTGCAAAATAACAGATTATCTTAATATTCTTTTCACGATGAAAAACTTGCGAGAGAACATGAAGCTTTAAGATTGATCTAATCACTAGTCATTTCAGTAACAAATCGGAACGAAGAATGTCAAAATCATGAATTTTTTAAACACACACAAAATATACGCAAACGTGAAAACGATTGTAAATATGAGAAAAGTTATAACCTTGTATCTTCAAGATCCTGTCGAAAATCGTCAAAATATATATTTTTGTCTCACCTGTACCTGCACGAGTTCGCCTCGATGACATTTCCTGATCTTCACGTTTCTTGTGACAGAATCTATTAATGCACAAATGCACTTCAAATATTTAAAATGTAATTGAGTTTGTGCTTTCAACTGATATTATTTAGCACTAATTTAACTTGAAAGGACTCGATAGGCTTGGCACGAAGCAGCTTGGCCATGCTTGCGCGCCTATTTCGTCAATGACCAATGGCAAAGTTTCCTCCTGTGCGCGTCCTAATGCGTTCGTTTGATTGGCCGTTGTCATATACCCGAAATTTCAAATAACAACGTATTTGGTGCAAAATGTTAATTATGCATGCGGTATAAAAATCGGACAACTTGTTCAGCGACGAAAATGCTGCGGAAATGTAGACTAATTTCAATACTAGTTTGAGATAGTTATATTTAACCGCATTAATTGGTTAATGATCGTAATATTTTGTTTTGATGTACAGTTGGGCTCTCCTTCTCGAAGATTGAGCTATATATTATCAAAAGAATCTTCTCTTCGCTACTATTATATCTTTCCATAAATAAAGTTTTGATGTTATGTTAAAGTGTATCTATCGAGAGTTTGAAATTTTTATACAAATTATAAATAAAAATAAATTAATTTCTTTTAAAGAAAATATGTATATTTTGCTTTCTTTTTAGGTGCTATTGGCCGCGTTCAGCAGAGAAAGCGCTCAGTTATCGTCTTGTCAACACTTGACGTTGATTCGTTGGTTCTAAAAGTAAGAACCAATCACATTCGATTGCTACTAAGCGGTTTTCTCTGCTGAACGCGACCATTGACCGCGAGAAAACCGCTCAGTAGTAATCGAACATGATTGGCTTTTACTTTTAGAATCAACAAATCAACGTCGAGTGTTGACAAGACGATAACGGAGCACTATCTCTGCTGAACGCGGCCATTGGAAACATACCCAAAGAGCCAACAAGTCCGAATGATGTCACGTGACATATCCCGCGAAAATGTAGCATTTTCAAATACTTTTTTCTAAACATCTTAATATAAACAAATCCAATTGCATGTCTGTGTACATAAAAAGAGAATATATTATACTATTTGTAAGGCAATATAATTATATGTAAAACGAATTATCAGAAATAAAACTCTTAAATTAAAGAGACAAAAAATATGTGGAATATAATTTTTAAATAAGTTTGAAGAACGGAGTACAATGAAAAATAAATATTATAATTGGAAAAAAGTTTATGTTTGAGTTAATTTTATTATATTTATAAAATATTAGAAGTATTTGATTATATTTATGAAAGATCTATAAATGTTTTCTTTCTTTCTGCCAACGGAAATTGAACAGGTTAGGATTGTTTGATCCAAATACGGTAAAATGTGAGTGTAATATCGTCACAAAGCTAAAGCGTGGGTGGTTATAAGAATACGTGGTGAAATATAATTGACTATTTTGACTTGATAGCAAAGTATTAAATCACATTGTCGGAAGCAACAATTTAATTTTAGTTGCAACATAAAACTTTGTAGAAATGTAAGTACATATTATATATATTATATATTATATACTCAGTTTTCTAGAAAAGACTTGATTTTCAATTAATTACTGATACTATAGTTCTTATACAAAATTTTATTATTTTGTGAATTAAATATTGTTAATTTAATTATAAAATACAATTTTTTGGAATAGAATTTAGTTTTATATTATGAAATATATATTTAATTATA